TATAATAATAAAGATAAATGATAAAGTGAATACGTTGATGGGCAATAAAATAATAGAATAAAATAATACAACGAAGAATTTTTTTTTTTAACTTTCAATTCTTAGCCATAAAAATATTACATTTTACATATTTTTAACCACAAAATAATTTGCAAAATTTCATGGTTTTTGYCAATTTTATCACAATGCAAATTTTAAATGCTTATAAAAAAATGTATGCCAGTAAGTCATTGAAAAATTAAACCGTTGTTATAAAAAATTATGAGGAACTTTTAAATTAATTTTTCAAGTTTTTGTAACTCGGCTAAGAATTATTTATCAACAATAATTAAAAACAAAAAAATAAAATAAATAAATAAAACCCATAAATCGAAAACTTCACATGCCTATAATAATTAACAGCTAAAAAAAGAGTCAAGATAATTTTATATCTGACCATGTGGTCATATAATATTGTGTAGATTTTTATTACCTACGGTCATTCGATTTTTTAGTTTGTACAAAAACTAAAATCAAATTATTCAATAACTAGTTTTGTGTAGGTTAGGTCAATTTAGTTTTTTTGTTTTCCCCAAGCTTTTGAAATTTACTGTAAATTTTTTCTTTTGACCCCAAAAATATCAACTGAATTCACTTTTCCGAACCTAACATAAAATATATATTAATGAGATATGATATGATATATGTATAAAATATGTGAAATCAATGGTGATGGCAGATAAAAAAATACACACATCATTTTAAATCAATACATCCATTGCTCTGTTGAATTTTTGAAAAAAACATTACAAATCTTAATAATTTAAAATAATTCTAAATATAAATAAAGTCTAAATATAAAAAAATCTAAATTAAAAATTAAAAATTAAGATCTAACCAATACGGCCATACGATTAAATTCGTTTGCTACTTTACCAACTAGTTAATTAAATAAAACGTTCCGACCTATACGTTTTGATTTTAAAGATTAATATGTATAATAGATAATTACATCCACCAGCTGCTTCATTTAAAAACTAAACACTATTTAGTGTTATTGTTATTATAAGTTATAAGTAATCTCYATTAGTTGAATGGCAGTACTATTTAATAAAAATATGACTTGGTTAAGTACCTCAGTTTTTTTCTCGATGAAATACTTGCCTTGAAAATCTATATTACCTTATGAAAAGCTTGCTAGAGTGAGAACCCTTTATCCCTAGTAGGCTACGTATTCTTTACTCYAAATAAAATTTTCACTCTTACTATACACCTCAATAATCTAGCACTGCTGATAGCTTAAACGTACGACCAGTTTAATTATGGCCGTTTTAGTCTCATCTGCAAAAATGAAATAAGTAAGTCCAAACAAAATAAAAATCCCTTGATTTAAGTACCTCATCATATTAAATTACAGAATTTAATAAAATATAACATATTTAAAAAAAGGAAATTCATAACTACAGTCGAAATGTTTTTAATCCGGTTATTTTGCTTTTAAATTCAGTTTCTAGAAATGTAATAATATATATATTGCTAAGCTTTTGAATGAAATATATAGTACCTACAGTAACGCACCTATATATATACAGTTATTGTACAAGGACGCATTTTTTTTTTTTTATTATTTACAATAACCACGCTTGGTGAAATATATGACTCATATAAATAAATATTAGAACATTTTATATATTTAATAGTTGTGTACATAATATAATAATAATAAGTTAATAACCATGCAGATACACTGAACATTTATAATTTTAAATAGTTCGTTATATTCGAAATATGACATTAAACAGCACATAAATACGTGCCATTGTATTTGATTATTATTAATTTTGTGAATTGTTATCCTATGATAACAATCATGCTAAAACTAATGCTAAAACTCGTTTGAAAATTAACATTTAACACGTATAGACGTATAATATAGTAAACAATATGTTTCATAATTAATATATTATTTTCATCTATTTAATTTTACCTAATAATAAGTTTAATCATATACACTTATAATTTACATCCACCTAAATTTAAGTAGTGTAATTAATAGCATTATATATTTCATCTACGTGTATTATTAAGTACGATATTTTCAATTAAGTTACACTAAAATATATTATAATATCAACGTTCGTAATTTATTATAACAAATTTTTAATTTAAAAAAAATTAGTCAATCTTGAACCATTTAGTCACTATAACAACCTGTCGTTTGATGTTATGAGATTTTAACGTTAAAAAGTGTAAAATCAATTCTCAATTATTTTCTAACCAACTTTATAATATTAAAGTAACAAAACTGAAAATGTCTATACATTACATCATCGCCTACAAAATTTCCGTAATTCTCTTATAACRCACTAATAATTATTAAACACMAAATTAATGTTTTATTAAATTTTTTTTAATAATAATAATATAAACTAATAAAAATTAGATTCGATTATTTTTGGTTATTAGATTTGAAACTTTATAGCTTATTAGTCGGCAGTAATGTTGTTCACAAGCCATAAAATAGTACCTATAAGGCTAAACATCGCGTCACGTGTAATKAAATGAAGTGAATAGTATGTTAAGTTAATACTACGTAGTACGGTTAGAATATTTAACGTTGTAGATAGTGATGTAAAAAAGCTAATAAAAAATAACATTTCGAATAATAAAATTTGCGACGAACCAAAAACGATAATATTATTATTTTATATGTATAATGTGAAATTCTGAACATTTGATTAAGTTTCGAACGCCAGTGTTAATAAGCATAGTATAATTTAATAATATTAAATGGATTTTAAAATGCACCATGCGGTACATTCAAACTAAATGTATTTTAATTGTCAAATATAATATGTTGTGTAGGTACTTAAACTTGCAGACGACAAAAAACGTTTAAACGTTATAATAAATTAATAACGATAAAAATAATACATCTATAATGTGCTGTAGCATCTATCCCATGTGTGAAACAGCGAAACAATAATAATATATTGTTTCAATTTAGAATTTATTTACGACCGATCAGATGATTACGTTTGCAGTTTTTTAAAGGTCCATGTTTTCCTAGCTGATGATATTTTATATTATTATAAACATTTTTTATGAATAATAAAAACTTTGTATATATAGTGATTCAATGATTTTTTCAAAATGTACACATTATTACACATAAGATCTGATTTTAATAAAAATGAAACACCATTTACACGATTGGTTTTATGCAAAGTTTCCACTTCTATCTATTAAAACATAATTCTCACAGTGTTTCTAGTCTTCGAGTCTTATTTGATTGATATATTTTTGAATGTGTTRGAATAGGAACCTTAAATTTCCAGTGAATTTCTACATTCCATCAACCATTATCTTCATCTTATATACGACTATTATTAAAGACGTTATTAATGAAGCCTGAAAAACTTTATTATTTTATAATTGAGCAGACGTTTGTATCGATATAATAATTAAAWAAGTAAATTCCTATAATAATATTTTCCCAGTTTTTATATAATTTACTAAATTTGACGCATTTCGTTTATCTCGTTGAGTTTTAACCCCTTTATCGTACTCCCTCAGGTCTGAACTCATACAATTTAGAGCAGTGTTTATTAACCTGTGTTCCGAGAAGATCACTTGAGGGTTCCGTGAAAGTGCTGTGCTTTGTTTCTATACAATTTCTATAATATAATCTAAATTCTAAATAAATAATTTAATTGTATTTTTATACAGTGTATTTAGTATTTTAATCACTAAAGTTTAGTGCATTGCTAATGTTGCACTTATCGCCATGTTTTGTGTACCCTTCTTTTTTAAAGATATTTTCAGAGGGGTTCCGCATGAAAAAAATATTATTGTCTGGTGTTCTGTGATATCAAAAAGATTAAGAAACACTGATTTAGAGTATATTACGATGGTGCCGTGTTTGAAAAGTTACAACTTCATCGCTAGCCGTTTTACATTGCTCGACGGTATGGTTTCATGTAATTTCACAATCATATTGCACAGTACTAAGTTCCACGAGTAAAATACCTTCAGGCTTTTTTTTTTTTTTGATACTTGATTCCATTTTTTTTATCATCATGAATTATTGTGGATAGTTGATTTTTTTAAACTTTTTTTTTCTCTTGTTCTATACATATATCTTTGTTTTTATGGCCATCAAAAGAATAATTTTACAGGATAGCGTATAATATTTATTATCATTTTCATATAAATATTTATGAATTCTAAACAAACATGTTTTATTATGTAAAACGTTTGTAAAAGATATATTTTTTGGATTTTTTTAGGGTATCTGCTCAGTAGATACTACCTAACCTATATAATATTAATAAAACAAAACAAAAAAATATCAATAATAATAATAGTCCTTTGCACAGGTGTTGACGACCACTGAAACGATGGCCGCTGTGAACTCGTCATCTGGTGATGCTCAACTACAACTGTTAAACCGAAAACGATATTCGGTCACCGACCTGATGGATAAACTTCTGGATGACATATACAGAGTGGGTGGTAGCAGCGTGGCTTCTGAATCGTCCACAGAACAAATGAATTGGAGCGATGGCGGTGGTAGGCCAATGATCGCCACTAACGAAAGATGGTCCAAAAGACTGACAAGAAAAAGTAAAACTAAAATATAATGCTGTTTATCACTTTTTAAGACTCATTTAAGTTCTGTCATTTGTGTTGAATTTACGTTTTATAGTCAACAATAAATAATTAAGTCTGTGTTAATTAATTTTCGGCATCTTCTTATTCGATTTCTTTATTGTTGTTCACAAAACTAATCAAAAGCGAATTTTGATGATTTTTTTTTTAAAAGGGTGTCCGATGGTTTTTGTATAAAATATTTTAATGGCCATCAACAGAAAATCTATACAGACTATTCTATATAATAAATAAGCAGTATTCACTCAATTTTTAAGTGAAAAATAGAAAAAATGATATTATTAATCCATAACTTCAAAAAATATATATTATGACAAATATTCGAATAATTTAATTACTTTACTAACAAATAATATGTTATATACCTACTTTATTAAAAATATTAATCATTAATAATTTTATATCGTATTTATTCTTTCGTCGAATTTGTACAATAGGAATGCGATGATCCATCGTACATAATCAACTACGGACACTACGTCAAATAATAAATATATAATAAAACAAATATTACATTTGAGGCCAAGACTGATGATGTGTGATGTATCTGCGACATCTGTCGAAATAAAATTGATTAAGAGTCTGAAATAAAATAATGAACAAGATAAAAATGAAAGAACATAGTTGTTGTCAAAAACTCGTGATCATTAAGCACTGTTTCAAATGCATATGAGTAGATAATACCAATTCATAAATTATAATATAAATTTACAATATCAATTGTAATATTATTATTACAGGGTAAATGATTTATTTTTAAGTATATTATGTATACCTAGAAAATCATTGTTAGAGAAGTATTTAGTTGGCATCAATTTAAACACGAATTTTGACTTTTGAGTAAACAATAAGTGGATGTAATATAAAAAAATTTTCCCCGAATCCATTATTCATGATTGATTATATAATTCAAATTCAAAAATAATAAATGAAGGATCCATTTTCAACACATCGTGCACGATTATCATGTCTTTGGACCGATTACATTAATAAAATATGATATTAACATATTTTGTTGGTTCTTAAGTTCTTAACCATTTTCGAATGACTGAACACTTGACATTTTATAACATTTTCGCGGAAAACAGCATTATAATTTCATAATATTATGATATTAAACAATATATATTATATACGAGTAGCGCAGATCAAGTTTACATACATATTTGTCACCAAAAATCATTAAGTAGATCAAAAGCACATATAATGATTAATGTATGTAATTATTAGTGTCTTCACAACCCGTGGACAATCTTACTATACTTTCATCCAGCAGATTTTTATTGATATATGAATTTGGTTTAAATATTATTATGTACTGTGGCCACGTATTTCCGTGAAAAACGAGAGATACACGTATACTATATTACAATATTATTCCGTTGATGTGCGCACGAATAACATCACAATCGTGAATCAAACAAAAATAATATAGAAATTCATATCACCAAAGACCGTTCATATAATATACTTCATACCCACTTTTGTTCACTCAATTCATACTTATATACATATATCATAAGGCTGTTGAAAACTTTTGCCCTGCTCTCAAAAACTAAAATGACGTCACTGACTATCGAGCCCTAGTTATTACACTAACATCTATCCTCATATACTTTGAAAATATTCTAGTTACCCATATGTATAATGTACAACCAGTGGCATAATAACAATGAAATAGTGGTGTTTCGAGAGGTAGTAGGAACCGGATTCTCTGATTCTGACTTTCAACGCCAAGGAATTAAAAAAAAAATCAGAACATTTTATAATTTCTCTCCTGCGGACCTATTTTAGACTTTTATTTATATTTTTGGTGCTTACCTACCTATAGAATAAAATAAGACAATATTATTTTGATAGCTTAATGGGTACAGTGGTACACCCATTAATTTAATATAATGTACTTAACTATAATATGTTATTTTATCCACTTGATTATGACTCACCTATACAGCTATACTTAACATATTGAACCACGTACAAAATGCTAAGCAAATTCAAATATCTTAATAGCTAAACTCATCACTCTACCCCCCCCCTCCCCAAAAAAAAAAAAAAAAAAAAAACTTATGCCACTGTATTAAATGCACAGAAGTACTACTATAGAAGTAATAATAGTAATAATAAACGTATTCCGTATAAAGTATGAAATATATGATATATAATATGTTCCACTCCCTATCCCCTTCTACCGAGTGCTCACTTCGTTTAATAGTAATATAATATTATAATATTGACATTTCGTCCACATTGTCGGAAAATGGGCACATAGTGAGGCAAGTCCGCAATATTAGTAAAAATAAACGTCCTCTCCCTCTCTTTTTTGTCGACATCGAACCCAATGTTAACAATAAACATATCTACACAACATCACTTGATTACTAAACACGAAAGTAGTGATTGAAAAACCGAACAAAACGACACACGGTCCGCCGCAATGTTTCAATTGTCAAGACTATGGTCACACGCAAAATTACTGCCATCATCCATCGCGTTGCGTTAAATGCGGCGAGGCTTCATGAATCAGAAAGCTGCACCAAGGATCACTCCAGCCCAGCTAAATGCGTCCACTGTTCCGAAAATCATACGGCCAGCTTCAAGGGGTGCCCGTTCTATCAAACCATTCTAAATCGCTATAAATTAAAGTCTTCAAACTCCAAAAAAAATATCACATTTACAAAAAACATATCCTCCGAGTCCCTTCCCATTGACCCCTCTCAATCCATCCCATCATATTCGGATGCTACTTCGGGTTCAAAAACGAACATTAATCCACAAAACTCTAATTTAAAATTAGCTATGTAAAAATTCCTATCCGATTTAACCTCCATAATTAATTCTTTTCTTTCCGCTATAATAACAACCAATTAATTATGATTATGATATTTACATTTAATATTATTTCTGTCACTATATACACTAATATTCCGTTCTGTTTACTCTTATCTGACATAATTATCTTATTTTTTTTTTTTTTTTATTGAACTAAAAAAACATCAACAACAAAGGCTATTAGTTTTTTGTTAAGATACAATGTTAAGGATATTACAATGTTTATATGATGCTAACTACATATGGTCACTATTTAATGTTACAATTTTTTTTTTATCAATATGTTTAAATTTTGTTGTATAAATCCGATCCTTTGAGAAAGGCTATCATGTTCGATGTGGTCTCGTTGCTCGGTCCCAGAGCTCCAATTATCTTATTTATCATTATATCATATGCTCATTATTATTAATTACCAATTATTACTTATTGTATCACTGTATCTATTAATATTGTAATTGTTGAACTATAATAGTTATACTGAAAGTTCTTCATAAAAAAAAATATTATAATATATTTTATAGTCGTACTCACCAACTATAGGCAGACGTAAAAATATATTTTCTACACCATGTTGTCGTATTTTGCTCATCATTTTTCGCTCGTGCGCAAATAAACATCCGCTCGAGAATAATGCTTCACATTAAAACTTTAAAACATTGTGTGACTTTGCAATTTATATGGTCGTCAGTGGCAGTCATCTATACACGTGTTACGTTTAAAATATATAAAGAAAATAAGATTAGGAATTAAGATATATATATATTATATGAGTATACTTATTACTTTAAATTTTTCACATGAGAGAAAATGTTATGCGAAAACGCTAACGAGATTAAATTATTCTTTTCTAAATTTGGCGGCAGTAAATGAAACGCGGAAAATCGATTACAGATTCAACTAACAAACTAACCGTCAATTTTTGAAGTTCTAACCACGTTCGGTAGAACTTAATATAGGAATATTATTAATAATTTATGCACAAAAACTGTTAACTAACATTTTTGGTCACATCTCTATAATGAAAATATGTTTTATAATATTATAACTCATCCATCGTTAATTTTTTAAAGGATCTAAATTTATGATTAATTCACAAAATGGTTATTAAATGTTCGTTTTATTCATTTAAAATGTTAAGTTATCAACTATGCTAGACATTTAGGATAGGTTTATTAATTGTCTATATACTTTTTCAACAATTTGATTATTGTGATACGAAAACGATTCATGTTTACAAATAGTTTTGGCTTGATGGATTATCAATTGCAATACTCGACAGCCAATATGAAAATAGGATAAAATTTATCAAAAAGCACTTTGTGACACAACGCATTTAATATTGTAAAGTATAAAATAAAGATTGCAGTGTTGCAAACTTTGTTAGATAACTCGATCTAATATCGACATATTAAGGTACACACTTTGTATAGGCACAAATAGAGAGTGGGGGAATAAAGATACTTCCCAACCCCCTACTAACCGTTTTATATCCCTCCAAAAACCTAAAGATTTTACACCACATTGGAATGTATAAAAACATTTTCATTACCACATCATTATCATCAGTTCATCAAAAATTAGAAATCGATTGTTATTTCGTTTTGGGTACACTAAGCTTGTAAAATTAAAATATATATATACGATATATATATGAAAATGTGTATGCTATAATATGCTATATGTGTAGAAATATTTTACATTCATTGCAAAACCGTAGATAACGCACGATCGACAAAAACGAGATTATTATACATAGACGTAGGTACTGCGAACATCCTTTACGAAATTTGATAAGCTCCCACGAAACATATTAAGTCGCACAAACTGTTTCCACTCACGTGTTTTAGCCTATAAATAGCATTAATAGCATAAATAGCATATAAATATAAATATAAATATATATATAGAGAGAAAGAGAGATCGTGACAAATGCGTTCGGATGTGTACCTGCAGCTATACTCKTAGATATAAACTGTAATTGTATTTATGCAAACGCGATTGATACAGAAAACAACCCAAACATGTCTGCTCGAGTATAAATAAAACAAATCACGAGCCGTTCGTTGAAGACAAAGTTTTTGCAATTGACAGGGATTTACTTGTTTGTGCTTCCATTTGACCGAGTCCACGATGTACGAATATAGAGCAATGCAGCTATCACTTTCATTCATATTTTTGGAATAAAATTTGTACGACTAAACCACAATATAAACAAATGTGCTCGTCTAAAATGTATATGATTCAGGTAAAAAAAGAATATGATGCAGCGATTCAATTCGAAGTACTTACTATACATATGATGACGTTTAAATTGGTCTTTTGTACGGAGATGGTGAGCTTAGAACGTTTTTTTTTTTTTTTTGTACAACTAGAGTTCTAATCAATTTGATATTTTCAATCATTTGATACAATAAGAAATAAACCATTAACCATTTTTGGAACACAGTCTATAATATTATAATATTATCCATCCAATCGCCAATACAGCCATCATTTACTCATAAATATACCGTATAACAAACAAACTTGATAATATTTTTTTTTTTTTTAATTACGATACCTGATTCTTACATGTATGAAAACTTCACCCACAATGACTAGTGATCAAACATAGCACAATAGTACGAGAATTGTACACACTGATTTATTAAACGTATTATATTATGTAGAAGGGTCTTAAAGTTACTTTACGTGTCATATAATAATATTAATAGTAATGAAATAAGGTAGTATGCCATTTACTATTATAGTGACTGAGCAGACTTTATTTTATGAATGAACTCGTCTGTCTGGTAAAGTTGTACGAAGTTGAATTAGTTTAAGGTTTACACTGGTCAATGGCTATGGTGATAAACTGATAATCCATATCTTAGGTAAATGCGTAGTATACACGCGGAACACGTGTTTGATGGTGGGGAAATGACGATCGATCCATTCTGTATAATATACAGAATGGATCGATCGTCATATATATTATATATTATTTTGCGTGGTATTAAACTATATGAAAATTATGGTTTATCTGCTTATCATATTGAAGAAATTTAAATAAATCAAACGTTTTATAAAGTATAAACATTATAAACATTTGCAGTTTCTATGTCTCAAGTATTTTGAAAATATCTTTTTTAATTTTAATTGTGTTTTGGAAAGTGGATGGGAAGAAATACAGCTCTCTTTTAATTTACTAAATGTAGATCTGTAGGTGCTTGCTTTAGTGCTGTATTCAGGGTGTTCCAACAATGCTCACTTCAACTTTTTTCATCTTGAAACTATTATTATGTATATCTTTAGTGCACAAAATTGAATAATTCAAATAATATCCGTTCGAAATTCGATCTCGATATGAAAAAAAATATTCATTAAAAATATCCGCTAAATAATTTACAGTATTGAAAAGCGGAATTCTTGAAAAAAAAAATATTTAATAAAAAAAAGTGCATGATTTTTCCTGTATTTAGACTTTAGAGTGCTGTAGACGAAGAGTTATGTGATTTTTACATTTGTTCATTAATTATTTATATTTATATTATTAAAGTAATAATTATTATTATTAGGTGTGGAAGAGCTGTGTACCACTGTTGACTTGCTCAGAGACCAGTTGAATGTATGCTGTGAAGTGCTTGTAAAGGCTCTGAAGAGGAGGGACATTCTGATTGCGCGTCGGGACGCCAAGTGCAACATGATCACGGCTCTATTGCACGCGTTCTCTATGAAACGAAGTAAGTARMGACCCGACAGCGGATTAATAATACAATTTATCTATGTCACTACACAATAGCACTACTAATGCTGTCTAGGCTGGATTAATGTTTTTGTATAATAATATGCAAATTGGCGATGCTAATTTTCGGTAAGACGAAACAAACAAAAAATGTCTCCTAATGTTTTGTCACCACTTTTCAAAAAAAATCTGTTTCCTATGACCCGAATACCGCCTAAATAAAATTACTGTTCCTCAATAGATCTGATACGCCTGTGTGCATAAATATTATAATATACTTCATTAAAATAATCATATAGGAGACGTTTCATGYGATTTTATTCTATACCTTCTAAATATTATATTATATTATAGTCATAAATTTGCAATATATCWGAAGAGAGACGCGCCTTTCGGTTCGTTTACGTCGCCTACGATCCCTAGAAACTGACGCGAGAATTGCTAAAATCTCTYAGACGGACATTTCGGTATGTTATTATCATCTGCAAGTTTCGTCGGACAAAAGCCAAACGTTTGTCACTGTCGTAAACACACACGCTCATACAACRCAATACAATATACGAAGTGTATATATATGTAAATATAAAATATATTTCGTCAAACCTCTTAACCCCATCCCACGTGTTATCGTCGTCGTACCGTGACGGAGACATCCGAATCGCTGACAGAGACACGTCTGTGGTCGTATACAATACAAATAATGCAAACGGTCGGTTGAGCTTTTTTTAGGCGACTGTTGGACTAGGTTTCCGATCGATTCACCGGCAAACGGCGACACAGAGACAATATTTTCATTTCACTTTAGGTCTTTGGCGTACTGCTTGTTTGGTCAACTGCAAATAAAATTTCAATTTCCGAAATGGTTATATAATGTAAKTCGGACACACATGAAATATCTTGTGTGCGTTTGCTATATATAAGTCTCATTCAGTATAATAATCTTATATTTGCTGAAAATGATAGTTACATGTTGAATCATGAGAATAATACGCTCGATTTTGTACTTATTCCTAAATATAAGCACTGTGGCGCTGGATCGGTAAACTGTTTCTTTTTTTCAAATCAAACACAATCGTAATAAAATAAATTAAAAGTAAGAGTACCTATATAAACATCGAGACAAAAAAAAAGTTACATTGAAAATTATTTTTTATAACTGTTCTCCTAACTACATTKATTATGTATTTTTTTTTCTTATCCTACTGGGATTAGGAATGCATGTTCATTACTCAACTCTGATGACAATTTAATTTGTTAAAAATTATTAGTAATCACCCGTCCAAAACACTATCATTAAATAATATCCACTGCCAATAATATACAATAAATAATAAATGTACTCTGTACTAAAAAACGTCATTGATATATATATATATTTTTTTTTTTTTTGGTGATAATAATATTATGTATTATTCTTTTAATAAATATTAAATAGTTATCAAAAGTGTTCTTCTATGGTTAGGTTATATAGAGTTTGATAAAATAATAATAACATAAAGTTTGTTTCTTTTTTYACAAAAAAATCTTTCCTTTTAAATTTCATTATGTCGGTATGCCATTTAATTTTCACTCAAGTCATAGATATACATATACCATAAACACGTACTACTTATAGTATCCTCAGGGTGTGTGCATATTGTGCACAACGCGTACCTACCTAACGAATTTTATCTCAATTCCATTTCGCACCTTCACCATGTATTTCACAAAATCACATCATTTCCTTTCAAACAAAAATCATTTTGTCGAAAATRCTTTTATAATGATTTTTTTATTAACTCTTTGAAGCTTTACATTAAGCATTCCTTATTATGCTAATTCAAAATAACCTGACAGTCTATAACTTTGGAAAAAAAGCGATTTTCAAGTTTGACTGTATTCCACAAAATATCATTATTTAAAATTTATATTCTTAAAACATCTTATTAAACATTTAGTTCATAAGCATATTGTTCAAATATAATATTATGCATATTCAATTCAATGATTGCATAATTTATTCAATTAAATAATTAGAATAGTCTACCTTAGAATTAACACTATATGGTTTTTATGAATATTAAATTAATTTTCTTACTTAAATTTTAATATTCTTTACTATGTATAAGTCTGATATTTTTAATGATGAAATTAGTTTTTTGTGAATATTTATATTGTTTAAAAATAGTTCATAACAGATTAGTAAAATTTAACTTAATCCAACCACAACTTTTTCTTTGGCCTATATAATATACTCTATGTGATAACATTGAAATTCAGAAATAATATAATTATTAAAATTCTATCACATTTACACATCAAGTTAAAAATAAAAATAATAATCGGACGTAAAAAATGATCATAATAACATCTCTACGCGTATGTGGACTTAAATTATACTCCATGATGCATTGTTGGATGCATAATATATAATAACTCAGCGGTAGGTACGTATTGTAATACTAAATAATATTTTAATATATTTATCACCGGTTATCTGGTAACATATTATAATATTAAGCAAACAATTCATTTATCGCCATTGATATCAATGCAATAATGTACATGCCTACAACAATATGGAGACAAAATATCCAACAGATAAAATAAAGATAAAAAAAAAACCATCAAACGTAATATATGAAAAACAGTTATAAGCAAAGATTAGCCAGTCTATAATATTGAATAGTATATTTACAATGATTATAATGATATCATTGCAATTAAAGTAATTTATTTTACAATTAGGTATTAGTTATAGGTAAAATAATGTTTTGTTGAAGGAATTGAATAAGAAAATGTTATTGTGTGTATCTATACAATTTTAATAATATACTTTAAAGGTTTAAAAAACCCACAAATACTATTTTTAATTTTAACTAAATTATTAAAATCGTTTATTGTTAGTTTAAATATATAATTTCGTCCAAAAATCTTTACTTAAAATGTCTACAAAAAAAGAAGAGAATTTCTTAAGTGTTTTTTCGATAAAGTGTGAACGATTTATGAATATCCTTATTTTTCAATGCTTARCTTWAAAAATTGAACATTTTATAATTTTGCAGCTTGAAGTCAGTTCAAATTTTACAAAAATATTTAAAAAATATTACGGATAATGTTTTTTCAAACAATTTGATCATATGATCATAGTATGTTGCAATATATTCATTAAAATAACAAACTACCTACTGCATTTAAAATAAAATATATATCTATATATTTTTTTGCAATCAAAATATACTCAARACAAAGAAATTTACATTTTTTCTATAGAAAATAAAGTAATTTGTAAAAATATTAAAGAAACCTTTTGAAAAAGATTATTTTTATTCTTTTAAATGTATATATTTTGTCCTTTACATTGTTTATTTTATCCCTGGATATTTAGTAATAGCTTGAACYGCATTAAAAGTTTTTTTACCTCCACACCCTGAATCGACAATTTAGATAGGTACGCAAAACATGTCTAGCTATTAACGCACCTTAAAATAAGGCCTAAACATATTTTGGTATAGTATAAGTATACAAATCTTCTTTATGGTACTTTTATAGTTATATGGCCATCGTCATACTATTTAGTTCAACTTAAAGATATTCAGATATCTAATAGCAGATAAACAACATATTTAGTTTACCCGTGAATCACAATTCAATCTTTAACGAATCCGTCTTCAATGATACTCGAGGGCACACCCTGAAAGTAACCACTTTTATTGGCGAGGACCATTTGATGATTTRTCAAAATTARACACGACTTTACCGAAATGAATGGCACGTCCAAACGTCTTATTGATCGGCATCAAACTAATACACGGTAGCGTAGTTCTGTAATTGGCTATATTATACGAAGATCAATTTCTCACCCGAATTTCTTTCAAAATCCACTTCTTTAAAAATTATTATATATTTATTAGTATTATTATCGAGAACAGTTGTAAACTTTTTGCACAATAATCATTTATATCTACCTAAATAAACCATCATACTTATTTRAATGATAATTTCATAAATACGATTTCTTTCAGTACCTTCCAAGTACATAAAGGTACCGCTGTAATATAGAATTACCTAGRGTCAAAATAATTGTCAATCATTATATTTATTATTACATAATATTGCTTACACGTGACCGCTATTTAATCTATATTTTTGAAGATATTTATATTATTATTTTATGAAATCAATGGACAACGTGTAGATTACATAATACTAATTTATTACGCGTAGGTATCTATRTAAAAATAATAAACTTATACAGGTATAATAGAAGTTATTTTTTATTTGCCACTTTTAACTTTATACATTTCAAATTCTTTGGTGAGTTTTCTATATCGTAGTTAACATTTATAATAACGTATAATAAAAAAAGTTCTTATGTTTTAAACGAAATCACACAATATTAAAACATGATTGGAATAAGAGAAATATATTATAAAATGTTTCCAAACATCATATTGAATATTACAGCTTTGTAGTTAACATTTATTCTATGTAATGCCTTTACTGTTGACTTTAAATTTACTGAATAAAGCTGAAAAAGTTTCTAAYAATATATAAACCGTTTAATAAATTCAAGGCATAATAATTGCTGAATTTTTTACATTATATCAATGTTCATAATTATACGTCATTCACCTATATTCAATAGAAAATCTGATCATAATATTAAATACTATTATTTTAATAATGAATACTTTTCTTTAGTTTTAAAAATTTATAAATTCTTAACGGTTTACATCGACTGAATTAAATATCATCTGTGCCTTTATATTTACGATTTTAAACAGTTCATCCAGAAAACATTACAATCTTTCGATTTCTTCGAAACTGAAAAAGTGAGATAAATAAATGAAAAAAGTTTTGATCAAATTAAAGAAAAAAAAATTTCCAATGCCCCGTGATAATTATTATATCAAATTTTGAGAATAGATACTGTATTAATTTACTAAAGATAGGTTTTGGACCTTCGGTTAACTATCTTGTACAAAATGTTGCCCTTTATATCTTTTGCAATGGATAATAAATCAAATTAACACAATTTTCAAGTTTGAACACCCTACGGACGATTCTGTAATAGTTAATAGTTAATCCTGACCATTATCAGCATTTTGATTCCTTAGTAATTTGTCGGAAATCTGTGTCAGATAATAGTTCGATTTTTTTTTTCGGTGTTACGCTTTTAATTTTGCCTTTTGTTAATAGCTATCAAATATATATTAATGAACAAAGATAAATKACTTTCATTTAATTAAAACTAACACATTTTAGTATCTGTTCCCATACAATGCAAATTAAATAAAACATATATTGGAATATATTTGATACTATATAYAATATACATGTATATAATATGTTGAATTTTATTGTAGATGTTTGTCAGTATTTTTATTTGCAAAATTATTTTTAACTCAAATTTGAACAATTTTTTTATTGGTATAATCTAGTACAAGTGCTATTCATGCTAATTCATCGTTTTAGATAAACTTTGAATTGTGATTCATTAAGCCTGTAATGTATCTGTATATGWATTTGTATCTAATATGTATATTTATATCTACTAAGATATACTTGCTATAGGAACCACCATGGTGATATTGATTTTGTTTGGTCTACATTTGCTAAATGTAATTGTATTTCATCTTATGTAATACGCRAAATTGCTTCGTCACTTCACTTAAAATTAAAAATCAACAAACATTTAAAAAAATAAATGAAATGCGTGAAGKATGAAGAATTTTTTATGATGAAAAGAATTAATTTTTAATTTTTACTTTTTACTTTTTTCAAACAAAACACTCAAGTTTAACGTTTATTTTGAAATAATTTTTAGTGTTTTATTTTATCAAAATTAATTAATTGAATAGTTGTTCATATCAAAATTATTATTTCAAACAAAATATAACAAAAATAATTAAAGAATTTTGTGTATGTAAATATAATGCTTWTATATTCTACTAACAATTATAACAGAACGTATTTTAACTAAATTATCTTGAACGTTATATGTTTATAGTACGACATAATATATAKTCTATAGTAGAAGGTCACAGAGTTTCGTTATTTGTATTGGTTTAAATTGAACTCACGGTAACAAACAAATAAAAAATTAAAGTCATTAATCCCAATCGACCGTGCAACATTAAGTTACATGGTTGATATCCGTCGACGAGATCACCTAATTCGTATACGTGACGTGATGAGTAAAATCAAAATGGCATAAATTCTTGCAAATCGTTTATTATAATAATCATATTTATATACAAAATAATAATAATAATTTTTTTTTTTTATTATTTTTTTTTATTATTTTTCCACAATGACTGAAACACGCATTTTCACGGAATCAATAGACAAATATAGCAATGTTTTAGAAAAATATTCAAATATAACGTTTCGACTATACTTAACATAATAATATACTCACCATAGGTACCTCGCAAAAGAGCGATAGAAGTGACACTGGTTGGGTGTGGCGGGGTGGATGTAGCCGAGGTCTACCTATTCGAGCATTAATTGGCTATTAATTACAAAATAAACTCTATATGATTATACTTTATGCATTACGATCATCGTAACAGCGTGGTTACAAGTGACTCGAAATATTCAAACTACGTTTATAMTTAATATTATTTATGGCTTATCAACGTTTGAAAAAAAGCAAGTAAGCGGCTAGTGGACATTTTCATATATACGATCATAATATCATTGATTATAACCTATTATTAAGTTGATACTGGATACGTATTAGTTTTATATAAAACTCATTTCTTGCTTATTATTATTAGTAAGACTGATCATTGCGCACGGGCCGTGTTATGTGATATGACGAATTTAGATTTAAAAATTGGATTTACTTATAGACGTRTARAATACGTATATAATATATACCATAATAATATGAGCTCGTTTATAAGATTTAATATATAGGGCTTCTGTCTGCACATACCTAYCTACGTCCTTTCACTGGAAAATAAAATAACGACTTTTCGATACCAACTGATATTACATATATTTTATAATAATATGATGTACTGTTAAGATATAATTTTGTCCACAAAAAAAAATGAACACTTCAATTTTACAAATCTAGTTGTCGTTTAATACCACATAGTCGTAAAGTCAATTCGACTATATATACTATATAGTAACTTTCAAAACATAATATATAGCACTCGTCTACCAAATTATCTGTATAAAATAAACGATTTATAATATTGCAAAAGTTTTTATCAGAAATCTATGTGTGTTTATTTTTACTGCTTTAAAAGGTAATAACATCAAAGAGATCTTATTCATCCTAATCTAATAATATGACAAATATTTTATTTCGTATAAGGTAGAAATAATTGGACTCCTTTAAAAAATTACTTTATATTTTTATATGAATCTACCTACTAAGTTCATTAAAGTAAGTTATTTTTAAGAATAACTGTAACTTTACTGTACCAACCAAATGAGGGTACATTCATTTTATTTTATACGACAAAAGAAAATTKATTTCTTCTAAAAATTTGTGAATAATAGACTTTTAATGGAAAAAATGTATGTATAATGTTATAGTGTGTGTATTGTTTACCTTTGTTTTAATAAAGCTACGTCCTAACATGCCCAACCTAAAATGTTGATACGAACTCTCACCTTTTATACAAATAAGTTCATTGATATGGCACTTATAAATGTATAATATATATGATGGTTATAACTTAGTGTTTAGAAGTTTAACTGGTGTTTACTTTTGACTCCATTATTTTAAAAACGTTCTTCTCCAAATAATGCGAAGATTTACAGTTCCAAATAACTTACATTCAGCAAGACCGTATACCAATGACGTCACRTAGCTATTGGCTCAAGAGTTACAGACTTACTGTATTATAGTCTATGGAAGCCCGTTTTTGTAGTCAAATCAAATACTAAGTACTAGGAATTTTGATACTGTCAAACTGTCAAGACATCAGTTTATATACCAACCAGCAACAAATCACTATAAATATTTCAACAATTTTATTTCGTATTAAAAAATAGTATTAAGCCAGTACTAATCTTAATGTCTAATAAATAATAATGAAYCATAATTAATAAATAAACACTTACCTATCTATAGGCTGTAGCCCAGTAGCACAACAATGGAGATTACGATTTACGAATTACACGCACTGATACACCGAGTGCAATCTTACTTCTGTCTTTGAAAAATATATTAAAACAATTAATATCATACCTATACTGGTATTTTATTTTTCCTTAAATATTACATAATGATGAAAATTCATGGTAGCTAYTCGCCTACCCGTGTTATGTACAACTACTTCGATACCATTACCGTTGCGTCGAATTAAATTTAAAATTAATATTATATTAATAATGTATCAGATGTTTTATAGAGTGAATAATGTGCAGTTTTCTTGGTTTTATAATAATTTAAAATCATTTTAATAATTGAATGGTTTACATTTTACATATTTTGTACATGATTTTCCGGATATATTTGAGATGGTTTTACCTTTTACCGAACTCATCCTACGCGCAATACGTGATCGCAATACCGTTTGCGTAAATTTGAAGTATGCGCACATTTTAGATAAAAAAAATATTTGACCTAAAGGTCTATTAAATTATAACGAAACCGTACGTTTTGCGTCTGAASCCAAAAACTTGCATGATGATCTGGCTTTAACATAACATCTTATGACACTTACAACACACATATATTATATATAGTTCAAATAGTTCAAATAGTTGTATAAGACGCTGCACTCAATGACCTGGGCGCTTCGTGTCCTTATCCTCCGTCTTAATATCAATTAGGCGGAATGTCGTCGGTTAAGACCTTTCATCTGGAAAGACCATAAATCGTCATCGTCGTGCGGAATTTTGGCCCCGAAACAATAACGCTCCCTCCAAAATCCGCACTGATAACCCGTCCAACATTGCGGGACCATCGCCAGCTAGGATCTAGAATAATATACTACCTATYCACTACACGCAGACACATTCGACTATAACGCACGTCTCGTCAACCSTTTTTATTATTATTTACGATTCGTTATAAATTCGTAACGCGAAACCGTCAACAACCTATTAACCTGGCCGATTACGCACGTCTTTATACATGTCATGATTTGTGTGCAATATACAACACCCGAATTCCAACGACGGGTGAAATGATGTACGTTTTTCGTCATAATATAATAATGATATTTTATTACCGTGTTATATATATATTATATTGTGTATAATGTATAAAGTCCGTATGTACACAATTAACCTAAACATGTATAATAATAATAATACATTTAAGGGACGCGGGCGAGGTGGGGAGGGGACGCGGAAAATCCTACCCTATCGCCACCCCGGGAAGGGTTGACGGACGGAGCGGAGCGCCGACCGCACGTGTGCTCGAGGGGTGAACCACCCCCGCCAYGGCCACCACTACACCGGTGTGAGGAGAAGGGGGGGAGGTTGGCCACCGATCGATAAAAACGTAACGCGCATGTTTTAACGCACAACAGGAGGAAACGCGTACCATATCAGTGCCGTATAATGTAACGTATAGTAAATTGCATTCTTCATTCAGACCGTCCGGTGTTTGAACCGTCGTCGCCGTCATCCCGTCCGGGCGATAGCAAGTCGAGACCAACGAAATATTCCTTATCAAAAAACATTTGGAAGACGGGCGATGTGATGAATGGTTTGCTCAATACGTTGAAGAACATTGCCAGTCTCAGTGAGTACACCTCTATAATGCCGACTATCATGCTATATACATATACTGCACATGCGACTTGTGCATAGTGCATATAATATTTTAGTGCAAACGGTTCACAGTTATTTCGTTATTATAATATAGTATGACATGTAACACAAAATATTATCACAAATACAAAAGAAAAATTMAAAACCCAACCAAAAAAAAATAAAGCTTGTGGTTAAATGAAATTATTATRACTTTTAATATTATTTCATAGCATCTTMCTATACCAACGATATTTTATTATTTGAACAATGATTTAATGCACCTATATATACCGCGTTGTTCGTATATAAATAACAATGTAGTACTTATGATATTTTGTGTTATAGTAATACTATGTACCTATGCATAAACTCACACGTGCAAATAATTTTATAATTTGGTGCACTTATTAAAGTCATAGCAAGTTACCACGTATTGTTGCAAACGATTAAAAATATAATTTTTGGTAATATTATATGTAACCAACAAGTTACCTGTGACTAATGACTATATTATTAAAACAATCGTTTACGAAAAATCTTTTTTTTTCACGCATTCAAATTTAGCATTATAATACACAAAATATATAGCTATATAGGGCAGTTATACCTGTACAGCCGTTATTAAGTACGGTTTTCATTTCTGTTGACACCTAGCTACCCGCGATCCAGCACTACCATCAMGATAAATAAATATTTTCAATGATAACAAAAATGACAGCACATCATATAATAATATTTTATATTTATTTATATTATGACAATAGTCATTGCAGATACCTGCAGAACAATATTTTGTTATCGTAATAATGTAATATTACGTTTCGACTCCTGCACGTTCTTTATATAATCTAATTAGGTTTGGTCAATATTTTYTTCTCGTTAGCAATACATATTAAGTGTTCAGAAAGCACGACGRGTACCTACCTATAATATTTGCAGAGTTCGATTCGATCGACGGGATGGTGAAAAACCATATTATCATTAGTGTGGTGGTGTATTTTTCGTTTGGCATAAAAAAAATTTTGAAATTGAAATTTTTGTTTTTCGTTCAAATGATGAGTTGAGAAATATAGTGCAAAAAAAAATGTCACCTAAACCATTTGCAGAAGGTAAACCGACGTGACTTGAATCCGACGTAACCCATCCTGTTACGCGTGAAACGTTTTCAAAGAGATATGACTATGWTGAAATGATGAATACTATTATTTTTTGAAATAATAAAAATAAAATACTCAATTCAAAGTGGACGTTTTATACAACGATCGATACAAAATACATAACAATGTTGTTACGATGTGTGGGTATGAGGGATAATATACGTACGACGTACCTATCTATATAGAGTTATATTATGGTTAATATTATTCACAATTTTAATATTATTTCTGTGCATTTTTTTTAAGAACAAACAAAAACTGAAGTTTTTTTTTTATTTTAAGTCAAACATAATATATTATAATACGTATATATTTTATGGATATATAGAGTGTTTATATATAAATGTGTTTTACCTCGTATATAAACGTCCGACCATTATATAAATATATATATACACTGACCGAACATTAAAAATGACATCGCTATTTATTCAAATGTTTAATGGGAATGGGAGTTGTAGTAGTTAAGCTATTAAAATGTTTATATTAATTGGCTGCATAAAAATTGACCATCGCGTTGAYTACKGAGAATCGGGGAAAAAAAGTCGAAAACTCTGTTTAAATTATGATCGCAAATGCGGACACACGTGGCGGCAGTACATAGACACTCTGTGTAATTTATATTTTCAACTTATTTATCAAAGAAAGTTTTCTTATATAATATATACGCGCTACTGCGATATTGTATACATGCGCTCGTAAAAGTGTGATGGATAACGACTATATTTTGTTGTTAAAAATTGCTGCTTCCCTAACAACTTATGCAATATATATGCTATATACATTTATATACACGCCCATATAATTTACTACTCGTGTATAATAATAATATAATAACGTACGGTACTCCAGTCGAAAGACAAAGTCGCTCCGTATAATGATGTGACCGTTTTAATATATAATAATAACACAATTCTAGCCCGACAATCATTATTCACGAGACGTCGTATATCATCCTAATAAATTAAGTACTCACGAGTTGTAATACGCGTTTCCAAAAAAAAAATTGACTGATCGCCGCACGATGATCACAACAGTGGCGATGTGTACTATTTACACGTCATTTCTGTTGAATTATGATAATCTCATCATTATTTTGTATGTATGTTATCATTATTGTTAATATTATTTTTCTCATATCGTCTATCATTTATATTTTTGGTCTCATTTTCTGTTTTTCCTTTTGTTCAGTTATACTTAAGATTTTTCAATTATATAACTTTTTATGGATCTCTGAATAAAATGTTTTTCTTATTATTACAATCAAATTTCTAGTTTTGAATCAATATAGTTACATGGTATTATACGTATAATATTATAATATCATTATGCACACATATGATATAAATTCGTCAGTTGATTCTCACGATAATATAATAAATTCAAGTACCTAATGCTTTTTTTCGCTAGTTGCAAGTCAGTTGCATTTAGTGTTATATTGGACATACGTAAAAATATTATAACTGGTTACGCGCCGTTAATAACTTCTAACAAAATATGGTCAGCTCCCATTTCGCCGAATTTATTTTTTAAGCAACTCTTTTAAGTAAACTTAAGATTAAAAATTACATTCTAATTAGTTATATTTATGTAATATGTAATCTGAAATTATTACACGAGCTCCACAGTTTTCAATACACTTCCAATATTTTTTATTTTTTTATCAATTCTAAAATAATAGTTATTGAAAATAAAGCATTCCCCTTTTCGCTGTGTAKAAATATATTCAATATTCGACATTATTATTTAAAAATTGTGAACTGTAAATGTGCAAATACGTACAGGTGATAATCATACGACACTGACATTGACTTTACAGTTATCGCTGCGACGACACACTATTCATTCTATTTTATTTATATAATTATTGGGGATTTATCAATTGATAACTTCARAATTGAGATAGTATTTCACTTAGATCATTTCAAACGATAAATATTTCTCTGTGTCTATTTATCACTTTTCAAATCACAAATTCATAACCATGTTTTAAGACAAAAATAATTTTATGCGGCGGCGAAATGGGATACGACCCAAAATATGAACGTTTGTATGGTCATAGACTTATTTGATCGGTGGCTCCGGAGCATAATACAGGTACCAATCGCTGAATAATTATACAAAAGTATTAAGGGTGCCGAAGAACCGAAAATGTTGTAGGGAAAACAGTCCGCAAATGCGCTAATTTAAATTGAAACGATTACTGTATAAATTTAATAACGGGAAACCGAAAACAAACAATAACTAATTATTGTATTTGACCAACAYTGTTATGATAAGTGTACTTATCACGATGATGGAGTTCGTTGTACTAGTTCTAGAATGTACATAACCAACCTTAGCTCCCCTGCGATTTACCCCTATGCTCTAGATATCCGCAAGAATCGATCTGTTATTGTTAGCGGTTTTTCCAGCAAGAATAAAATGAATAATATATTGTAATATTGAATTTCAAATTCAAAATATATCATGTACAAAAATATAATATATCAACGCATGACGTACTTTTCTGAGGATTGACCCAACGCTTTTATTCTGAATCGTATGGACGTTGCTTCACTTGGCAGGACATCTATCAATCGACGTAGCTTYTAAACTACATAATAATAATATATTAAACGAATGTGTATTTGATATTATTAAATCTTTTTTTTTCAAAACATTTAACATCCTCGGTATATCATTGCTTTATTTCGTTCCAGAAAATCACTTGGTTAAGTACTAACCGACATAAAATAAATATATAAAAACCACGAGATGATATTTTATTTTACTTTTCTTATTGATGTGAGAGTTTAAAAAAAAATGTAAAATTGACAGAAAAGCTATATAAATCAAGACTATACATCAAAATACAACTCGTTTCAATGGGAGAAAAMCAACGTCAAATGTTTTTGAGAATAATTTTCAAATCCGATCATCGAAAGTCGACGACAAAAACTAGTTTGTTCGATATAAAACTGTAAACAAAAATGAAACTTCGGTTATCAAACAATTCACCGTGAGACCATAAAGAGAGACATGTAAATAGTTTTAAAATGAATATAAACCCAAAACTCGGAGTGTTTTGTTATTCTATACTATGTTATCCTATACCTAGGTAGTATTACTATATAGTCGGGAATTTTCTCTTTTCGTTGCGATATGTACAGTGCGTATTATTATAACCTAACACACATTATATATTTTAATATTTTATGCTTGAAATCCTATAAATTAGTAAATTTATCCTTAGKTTAATAATTATTTTCACAGTATTCAAAATTAATATGTTCACTGTGATTCTGCAACTTATTCGGGAACATTAAACATTATACTCATATTATTGTTCATTGTAATTTATTTAATGTGAGCATTGTATGCATTTTTAAAGAAGTTGCAGCGCTTAATTCATTATGTATTCACAAACTGTGTTTAAGTAATACGCATACGAGAGAATGCTTATTAGTTATTTCCAACATTTCCTAAACATTTTTTTTTGAAATTTTAATTTTTTAACGACATTTTATGATTTCGTTTTTATTAAAAAGGATATCAATTTAAAAAATTTTACTAAATACAATTACAAAAAAATGAAACAATTAATTTATGGAATAAAATTAGGTGTGCATATTAATTTGGTAATATATTATTATATTATTTACCATCACTTTGAAATCAAAACTTGTAATTGTATAAAATGTATTTTAAATATTTTTAAATGTTTAAATATTTTTAAATGTTTAAATATTTTTAAATATTTAAATATTTATACTAATCATAAATCACAATATATGTTTAAATATATATAACATATATTTTGAAAGCAGATCAATAATTGTACAGTAAAAATTATAAAAAAAACTATTTAATTTCTGTATCTGAGTCTTATGGTAGAAGTTATGAATAGATTTTATTGAAAAAAGTAAACTCATCGTTGTTCATCAAATCACCAGTTGTTTCCTTGTTTCGTTCTAATCGAATCGGTATAYTAAACTAATCGATTTTATCATTTATGGACTGTTAGAAAATACTAAATAGTAATATTGTAAGTAATAATTTCGTTAATTTTCTTCTTGCAAAAAAACCTACAGTCGTATAGAAAATGTTTCTAGTTTCTTTGGAATTAGTTTATTGTTTTTTATACTTTAGTATTACTTTTTCTCGGGCTTATAAATGGTTATTTTTATAATAAACTTTAAACACATCTACAGAATACCCTTGACAATTCAAAAACTTGAGAACAAAATTAAATTAATTTAAAGTTATCGAAAAATAGTATAGTATTTTAATGTAAATCAATTTATAACTATTAACTAAAATATTTAAATAACTGTATTTTCATTTCGGAATATTTTAGATAAGTATGTACAACTTACAACGATTTTTAACCCCTATATTTTATGAACTATTATTCAATCCAATAAGTTTTATATTATTAAAATATATGTATACATTTTATGAGTGAAGAGTAAAAGCAAAGTGATATTATAATTAATTACGTCAAAAGAACTGCAATGTATATTATTAATTTCATTAAAAATTAACATTCATTGGGACACAGATTTTCTTTAAATACCAATTTGAACCGACAGTTATATAAGTCCAAAATTGTAAACTGTAATGATAAAAATAAATATCCTTCTAAGAAATCAAAAAACTAAGAAAAATATATTTAGCATTTTATGTACAAAAAAAAAAAAAATATGAAGTTAAAATATAAGAAGAAGCCTATAATATTTTAACAGCTCCCTGTACACTCCGCGCGCTCGCCAACCCACGAATGACTTTATTTAAAATGGTTTTATTTATATTTAAAAAATTATAATTGAATATTTTTATTTAATTATTATATAAAAATATTTATTTTTATTTCCATGTTAATTATAGAACACTGAATAAAATTTAAAAACCTTTTTACATACAATGATTTTTAGAAACCCTAATAACCATTAAAAATAATATATTTTTAATTTTAAATAAAATCGACAGTTAATCAAAATAATTAAATTCGAATAAAACACAAAGCTAAACAATATTTACTCAAATAAAGAATATTTCGATCATTGAGTGACCTACCGATGTTTTTTCTCGGCTTTTAATTGTAATCATAACATATATTTTGCATAAACTCAAACATTGTATTTATAATGCCTTAMAGAACGTTGCATATTTTTAGCACGTGAATATTAATTATTCGGATTGACATCGTTTTTCACACGTTTTTCACACAAGTGCCTTTATTACCAAACGTTTTATTTATCGATACATCGCGGGCCTATGCCCTATATTTTAATATTAAAATACAACAGTAGGTTTATACATCGACACAAATATTTAATTTAACAAAAATAACTATAATAAGGCTCAGAGAACTTGTTGAGTTTTTAAAATTGTATTCAATACCTAGTCCAAAAGTTATGGTACATAGTAACCCAATTCTAGATACCGAATATTGTATTTCTGTGCAAACAAGTTGAATATTTATCTTTGATTTAATGAAGATTAAATTATCTATGTGGCTTATAAATACTTTCGAGTGATTTCATTGAGTTATAGTTTTCGACCAATAACGAACAAATAGGTGATTCCTTAGTCCGAGTTATAACAATAACCTTATTCAGTGTCATGAAAGTTTAACGATATATGTACAAGGAAAAAATAAAACATGAAATGTATAAATCTCATCAAAGAATATAAGGCATTCGCTTGTTTTATGAATAACCACGCGAGTTTGCTTTCGCACGACATGAGTACGTACCCTCTCAACATCCACTTAAAATGTACGCCAATTGCACCTAGTGAATAAAAAAATATATTGTTTGACGCCATTTCGTCTGCAGTATAGTATATTTTTATATAACGACATACTCAATATGCGATGATTAATATGGTTGGAAAACTGCGTTCGTAGGCGAAGACACCAAAATGAGATTCAACATGAAACCTGGGCCCGGTGACACCGACTTTGAGCAGTGGCAGAGCGCTATGAAAATGGTGGCGAGACTTCCGGACGGCGTGCCGCATGAATTCCGGAACACGGTACGTGTCTATCTATATTTATAAATTATTGTTACTGCAACTATCGCGCCCACCTGATCGCGTTCACAACCCAACCGCACCACTCGCTAACACGTGACACCCATTATACGCCCGCATAAAATGATTKATTATTGCGTGTCGCATAATAATGTATGATGTAATACGAAATAAATATAAAATAATATTGGTTCGTGCCGATCTATAATATTATCGGACGCGGACACGCGGTCCGTTTTGCGTTGCACAGTTATGGTTGACTCTGGCGGAAAAATACTTGTCGTCCAGGAACGTGGAGTGGCCAAAGGTGGAACGGTTTTGCTTCAACGACACGACCAACCCAGACGACGAGGAGCTGGGCGTGCAGATCGTCAAGGACCTGCACCGAACCGGTTGCAGCCTGTTCTGCGGTTCGTCTGGGCTGGAAAACCAAGCGCTGCTGAAACGGGTGCTGTTGGGTTTCGCTCGGTGGAACAAGGCAGTAGGTTACTGTCAGGGGTTCAATATGTTAGCGGCGCTCATACTGCAAGTGATGGAAAAAAACGAATCCGACGCCCTAAAGGTTGGTTTGTCGCAATGCGTCCACGAAGTCTTGGCGTCTCGAAGCCCTTCGGCTCGACAGACATCTACTTGTCGTGCCGTGTTACGAGTGCCGAGATTTCGCCGATGCATCAATGCATAGTCTTTCCGACTACTGTTTGTTTATCTGTTTTGCGTTTAGGTAATGATATACTTGATCGAAGGTGTGCTTCCCGAGGGTTACTTCGCCAACAATCTTCGGGGACTGTCTGTGGACATGGCCGTGTTCAGAGACCTATTGAGAGTCAGACTGCAAAACCTATCGAGACATTTAGACCGGTTACAGACTGAATCGAAGGACTCCGGTAGGCTGAATCTCTTTTACAATCCCATATTTTTTCTTTACACGAATGAATCATTCATGATCGTAAATAATATAATTTATTTTATATACGTAATACAATGCTTACTGTCGAATAGGAACCAGTTACGAACCACCCYTAACCAAYGTATTCACAATGCAGTGGTTTCTCACGCTGTTTTGCAATTGTCTTCCACAGCGCACAGTGCTTCGGGTCTGGGATTTAATATTCCTTGAAGGAAGCACGGTTCTTTTGAAAACCGCCTTAGCTATCTGGGACGCTCTGTCCGAGTAAGTACTTAGTATTATTTATTTTCCRACACTCTTGTGGCACTGTATCTATACATCGTTGTAACCATTTTGGTAGATAATCACAATTTAACACGTTTACGACTTTTKATATACAATATACATGTACATATTATGTTATTGTACRACGAGCATATACTTGCACCGAGTACAATAACCTTCTAAAAGTTATTAAGGTTTATAGATAGGTRCTGTGCARACGGTGTGTAGTCAATTATCACATTTTTTWATTTATTTTTTCGCATATTAATAAACGCCTTAAATAATAAACAAAGTACAAGTCAATGTATTTAAAAATAAACTCATTATTTTACAATAAACCMMGAAATTTTCATATATGTTCAGACATTTTTTTAATTATATTTTGAAATAAAATATTTGAATCCACCCACATCGTAATTATTCATAGGGAAATATTTTTAATTATGTTTCATAGTTCAATCAAAACAAACAAAAAATATAATTTTAAACGTTGTCACTCCGTTAGTATAAGTTATTATAATAACTTTATTTTTGTGGTATTTTTCACRAGGGTCAAAATTAAAAATTATTATTCTCATTTACATAATAAATAATAATAAACGCACACCATAATATATAGATACATCGAGGAGATCCTCAGCGTAAAGTACATTTAATGTATTTAACTGCAGAAGATTTAAAACAGACTAGTTAATTCGTGTTAATATTTTTGCGAGGATTAAAAGTTAGAAACACTTTTCATAATTGAACAAAAACTAATTGAACTAATTTCAACTCATATCATGAGCTTACCAAATGTRCTTTCCCTCGAACTATATATGGTTATTTTAAAATTTCAACGTTAGTTACWTACAGGAGGTACGTTGCGTCTTAATACAGAATAGATCCATTTAAACTCGGTTAGACATTTCGTTTTAAGTGCACATAATATGTTGTAATTAAATAGGTTTCTTGTAGGTCATTGCATAATAATACGATCGCATTGTCAACGGAAAAATGAGAGTTTGAAATGTTTTAATATATTTTTATAAAAAGTTTTTTTTTGTACCGACGTTAAATAAAACTGTTTCATTTAGCCGGATAATGACAGTGACAAGTGCAGACGAATTTTATAGTATTATGGCTGTCCTCACCAGAGAAATGCTCGAGTTCGGTTTAATGGACGCCAACAATTTAATCAATGTGAGTATTTTTGTCGACAAATTTATATATCCTACMTCCGTCATAGTTATTTCAACAATAATATCCACYGTTATGTAAATAACTTTTTCACACGTGGGATTCATCATTGCAATATCATGTTAAACGTGTTCAATTGTTCATACTGTTCGTAGACAATCAGTACGATGAACGAACTAGTCGAAGTCAAAGAACTCCGGGAAAGATATATGTACAATATAAACCCGTGGGTTAGCCACGTTGCGAAACGAGGACTGAGATTGTTCTACACAGAGTCAGACATCGAGGAGACCGACAGCGACGACGATGTCGATGGCAAATCTTCGGTGGTCACTGCAAATAATGACCGAAAGGACGACTTCAGAATGAAACGTAAGCTAACGATTTATTATTCCCTCCCGATAAGATCGCAAATTCGAAAAGTACAATATTTTAATAAACTCGTGTTTTGGATTTTTATAGATAACAAATCTAGCAGAAGCAATAGGCAGCCAACTCCCAGTTTGGAATCAGAAAGAGAAAAAGTGGCATTAGACATATCTTCATTGAAAAAACAATATAGCAAACTCAAAGAAAGGCAGAAACAAGTCCAAGTAATTTTAACAGGTAAAAAACATAATACGTATTATACAGTTACGCTTAACGTCTGTTTGGATACGAAATAGTTGCTTAAAAAATATCAGTCAAATATTATACGTGACTAAAACAGTAAAAATTCGATCGGTATCGATACACACTTGTATACAAATTACTACCTACTCATAAAAAAAATCATATTTTATTACAGCTGCTTGTAACGGACAAAACTTTATCGGGACTTCTAACTCTTCAGCGATGAATCATTTATTGTTCGGAAAAACGGCTCTGAGATGCACATCGATCGGGCCCATACCCGGATCCATACCATTAAAATACATACAAGATGTCCAGAAACCAGAACCCAAAATAGGTACATTATGATAATGTATTACATTATTTCGTGTTTTAAGATATTATAATATACTGAACAGTATGTATTGTATACAATTTCCGGTTACCGCACACAACACGACAACGACCGATAATCTAAACGTGGCTTTACACTCTCTATCGCATGGTCATTGGTTTAAAACATCGCATTAATATTTCAGCGCCTTAATTGACTGAAGGCTGTGGTTATTTTTTTAATACGCCACGTTACCATGTATTACCGTAAAGTTAAAAAATATTTAATTTATCGTCGCGCGGTTACTGCAGCGGTTAAATGGTTATTAATCATAGTGATGATAAAAGATTTAAAAGTATAAAATGAAAAAGATTACACTGTCTGATCATTAATTTKTTAGAATTTAAATACTATGTCTAGTATCTACTAAGATAAATCAAATAAAACGAAACAATAAATTATGGACAACACGATGATAGAGTGTAAAGGTGCATTAAACAAATATATAAATTGAAMTGACTATTGTACAGTTTTTTGTTAAATCACATGTGAAACAATTGTATTATAATTTTGGCAAAATAATTATTTTGTTCTTAAGTTACTTAATTTTATTACCCGTATAACTGTGTATATTTGGAGTTTCAGAACCACGAGTTCGAGAGAAACAAACAGTATCATCATCRTCGTCTTCGTCTACGTCCACCGAACTCTGTGATGATCCCGCGTCCGACTGCTGTAGTGAACGGTCGATTGAAGACGATGGGTGCAACGGCCACGACGAAGACAGAGATGGAAACGCTGAATTGGTCGTTGACGTCGTTGTAGAATGTCTACCGGACGTCAAATCTGGTAACGACGATGACAGTGATGTGAGTCTAGCCGAAATGTTGAGAGCCAATTCGGAACTGTTAAAGCGGATGTGCAGAGGGAAAGCTGCAGCGGAAGAACCAGAAATAGACTTGGAAGAACGGTTACCGGACTTGATCAACGACATCGGCATGCTTGACGAATCGTTGACCACCGCAGAGACTTCGACCACGGACGATGATACTCGGGTCCTATTTGCGAACGACTCAATATCCGCTGTCGAGAGTTCCACCGACGACTTCCGAGGTTTCTCAACGATTGAATCGCAATCTACAGCCCAGACTTCCATCACCGACGAATTCCGAGAGTTTTTTGCGGATGAGTCTATATCTACAGCCAATCACGATAATCGAGTACTTTTGCCCCATCAATCCAAAGAAAACCAAGACAGCATTGAGGATTCTACTACGCAGGCATCGAAACCATTTGCTCCGTTTCCTTCAAAAGCCAGGCAGCCTAAACGGCTTGGCATCGAGTTAGGTCTATACCCGGACGACTCGAATTGATTTCTCCGTTTTTTTCAATGGTTTATTAAAGAATTTTAAATTGAAAAAAAACAATCATCGTTAAGTATTTTTTTACATAAAATAATTTTTTTCGACAATATTTTAAATATTATTATAATTTATTATTATCATCGCGTCTTATATGAGTAGGAAGCATCATTTTTGTAAGAGACTGATGTCTGATGCTTGATCTTTTTAAACTTTTTTGGAGATTTTACCACATATGTGATATTTTGTAAAAAAAAAAA